GAGAAGAAAACAGGTAAGGTAGCTAAGGTAGGGAAAAGTTCTGCCCAATCCTTGATTTATCATAATATCCAAAAGCAACCACTGCTTTAACAAAGAATCACTGCCTTAAAACAAAAACTACCAAAAATAGCCTGTAGGACTGGGGAACAATTCATACCCATTTGCAAAGAATGGCCAGAGGTTATGTGATCTACTTGTCAGAGGCATAGATGACTTGTTGTGCCCTTCCAGTCTAGTGATAACAGCTTTGATTCTGGTTTATTTTGGAGAGATATGTCATTTACACCTAGATTAAGTTATTTAAAGTAGTGCAACTGTGAATTGCCTAGTTTAGTACTGGTATCTACATATTAGGAGATTTGCCCAAAGTAGGGCTATCAGATCTGGACTCCAAAAATCTGGACAGCAAAAAGTTATAAAGAACTTTCTACATCTCCTTGCTGTCTCCTTGTTACCTAGATTTTTGCAGCCCAGTTCTGATAGGCAGAGCTCAAAGCAAGTGATTTTAAGAAATCTTATAGAGTGAAACATTTTGTGTTCCTATTATTGAGATGAAACATTTTGATTACTTTTACAATAAAAGCTTCCCTGCACACTCAATATCTTAGTAACTAAAACTTGTCTGATATTATTCTAAATAATATGTTGAAATGTACATCTAATGGAAGAAAATGATAGGCAGGACTGAAAAGGTTCCAGGGAACAAGATAAAGGTAATTTGCAGATTTCTTAAAATCTTTTTCTAAAAACCTTTCAAGAGGCATCAGATAAAGACATTTGCACTAGGAAATGGTTCCTAATATGCTCTTAATAGATTCCCCTGTCCCTAATATACTTTTTTTTTTTTTTTTTACAAAAAGTTACTATAAAGTTATTAAATAAGATAATATTATTTAGAAACATCATAGAGGAATTTTGAGCTATAATTCCTGTTTGATTTCTTTCTATTACAAGACAGTACTGAATAGCTATTTGCACTAAATCAAACAGGAACCAACTTTGACTGCAGAATACTAGAATATTGTTGGTCACTATTCAGAATGATGCAGCCACCTAGATGAATGGGTCTAGGGACTCAGCATTATAGAACAAGTTTAATTGGGTAGTCAACATGGGAAGTTTCTACCGTCTTTTGCTCCTTGTTGCCCTCTGCAAGCAGGAAAAGTACCCTGAAATAACAAATTGGATTCCTATAGCCCACTATCTGATGCACATTTGCCTGACAATGTCTTAGGGAATTCAACAGGGCTGATTTCTATGCAGAGGTCTCCAGGAGCTACTTCTCTCCACTCAGATTTTCTACTTCTGAAAGAGTTTATTTCCCCCAGGGATAAGATAGCAAGAAATAAGGGAAATAATAACTTTGGGGACAAATAACAAAGGAGATTTTCAAAAGGAAAATTACAAGGGGGACCCCTTCTCTCCTCTAATTCTTAACTGAAAATCCATTTCCTACTTTAAAACACAAAATGCTTTGAGTGGAGAAAGAAATAGTGGCGTTTGGACAACACTGTAGTAAAGAAGCCCATACAGGGAAAATGGATGGGTTGCCACCCTATTTACCAGCCAGTACTTTTATTAAAAACATAAGTAACATCTAAAGGGTCCATTCCAAATACTTAAAGGAAGGGATTGAAACAAAATTAGCTTGAGAGCTTTTCTGTTTCCCCTTTTCAGCTAGAAGGCCAAACTTACTCAGTTGAATTAGACCGTGGCCTAAATCTTTTGCCTTTGACTTTCTTTCTGTTGCCTCCTATATTACCTGAAAGAGATCAAAAGATAATAGTAAAAAAGATAATAGTAAATGATAATTTTGGAATTTGGGCATTCAGCAGCCCTAAAGTTACATACAATGAGTTCAGGTTCAGGGCAAGCCCATTTAAATCAAAGCATGTTATGTCTTAGGGTAAGTTTAGAATCTAGCCATACCTTTCATAAAAGGGAAAGCTGACACCAAATCTTTAAGTTTCCAGTATGCTCCAATACCATCTAATAGACAATCTAATTTCTCTGCATAATCATGACTCAGTGAACTCTACCATGCTGACCCAAGAGGCTTTCCCACCTTGCCATGAATTACTCCTTGGTCTCCCATTTTGACAGATGTCTGAAAGATTCTTTGCATCTTGGATTCTTTCACTCCATGAATGAGATAAGCCGTTTGACCTAGGATAAAGAGCAAGATCCACATGCAATGGTTGGTTTTGGCATGTTTATCTTTTAATAATCCCATTATTAACTGACATATTAGATTGAGATGATTTAACTCTTCCTGAAGTTCCTCAAATGTCTACCAAAATTAATTAGCAATGTAGTTTTTTTTAAAAATTAGATTTCACAATGTTTTGTAACTTTTCCTTCACTCTAGCACCCAACACATCTAGGAGGCACCAGGGTTTGGAAAGCTATTCTAATCTTTGTTTCACTCTGTAGAATATAAAATTGGGATAGGAAACCTTCTGGGCAGTATTTGTACAGAGTAATATGTTGAGGGCCAGAGCAAGCAGTAAGCAGAGTCAGAGATGAAAGTAGATGGGGGCCACCCATTCTTTCTTAGACACTCTGCTTGTTCCTTCTGTATGACACAGAAGCCTACAGGAAATGGTTAGATGATTCTTATCAGAAAGCTGAAATGGATCTTACATATGAGTTTTCAGGACTCCTTGCTGTTCCAGGAACATTGGTTGCCTACATTAATAGGTAAGATATAGAAGGAGTGTATACTGACTTCAACTGTTGTTATCTGAAACAACGATCAAGCCAGTCTTCAACAGCCTGATGGTCCCCAGATGTGTTTCGACTACAATTCCTAGAATTCCTAGCCAGCACAACCAGCAGGTGGAAACTCAGGAATAACTAGAGACGGCTGAAAGTAGCCGTTAAAACATTTTAAAAGAAAAGTATGATTCTACTACTGAGTAAAAAGTAATTGTATAACTGAGTAAAAAGTAATCAGCTATTGTATATTTCAGAATATGCAGACTTTAAAAATTGTAATGTTCTTAAGAACCAACTACTGAAAGAAGGAATTAATGGAAATAAGTGGTAGGAGAAGACACACAATAAATTAGTAATATTTAAGCAATGCCCACTTTAAAAGTCAATCAACAACTTCATAGGAGGAATGAAACTTCGCCCCATGTAACATTATAAAACAAAATCTTAGGAAACACATGTTCCAAAGATTTCTTCAATTTATTTTCTGGAGTGGAGCAATCTGCATCATTTAAATATGGTTCTCAGAAAATATTTAACATCAGCCAATTTTGTCAAGAAACTCAGGACTGATTTAAAGTAATTTTTCAAATAGGCATCCATCAGAAAGATCTCATCAAAGATTAAAAAAAGAAAACACTCCATCTTAATTAGATGATTACTTTAGCAGTATAATGTGCCATTGAATACAGCTTTCCCCCCATCTGTCCTCCAGGTGCTTTAGACTAAAATTCCCAGCTAGGTTGAGAATTATGGGCTAGTGTATAATTTTCAAATGACAAAAATCTTTCTTCCTCCATTTCAGTTTCTCATCTGAATAACCACCAAAATAATAATCTGAATGGGTTACGTCTCTCTCTTCTTCTTCTTTTAATAAAGTTACATTCATATATTGCAATTAATGTCTGCTTATTATTATTGCTACTTAATGGTGGTTGCTTGTAAAGCATTAAAAGCAGTTTGATCATTCTTGCTGCTAAAAAAGATGAGGAAGTGACATATAAAAGTGACCTTATCTGCTTATGGATTATTAAATACACAGAGATAAATTTGTTATTTGAAAATAGTGAATATATCTTTTTTCAGTAAATGAAGCAATATTCAATCCAGTGCTTCTAGTCAAGCACAAAACTCTGGATCTAGAATAGAATTTGAAGTTGACTCCTTTAGCCTTCCTTTTCACAGAAGAAGCCAAGAAATTTTTGCTCACACACTGCTTAAATATTGCAAGAAGATCTAGTAGACTGGATATTAAATTTAATTTAGCAGAATCAAAGAGCTCTGAATGTCTCTATGACCTGATCTGTAACAGAACAATCTTTTTACAGGGCAGCTGGTTATAAATGAACTGTTTGAACACATAAGCACATCAGAAATACATTGTAGAAAGTAGCTTCTCGTGAACTTCAATCTTGCTGTCACAACTTTGACCAAAGTGCACAAGAGAGCATTACAAGAAGTAGCATTCTACTCCATGCAGCACTGTTGTGGATATATCTTATAAGCCAGCCAGCCAAAAGATTTGCTCTAAACATACATGATCAGTAAAGATGATAAATGTAAGCTGGAAATGCCAGGTAAGATAAGAACAAACAACAGAGCAAACTGGTGATAACATTCAACATTTATATTCTTACATTTTATTCATCCATTATAACTGTTAATGAGTAAAAAAATCCTCCGTCTTTGATTAGTTGAACAAGCTATAACATAAAGGCAGTTTTGGCAATTTCACTGGGTTTAGTGTTTTCATGGTATCACAGAACTGGAAAGTGCCCCGGAAAGTCCTCTTACTGAAGGCTCAGTGCAGGATGCAAGTATTAACAGCGTCCTGTGCCAAGCCCCATCCTGTCTCTTCAAACATTATCCAAATACAAGAATGATAACAGGATAGTTATCAACTAACACATCTTAGCAGCTGCAGATAAGCTACTTCCAAGCAGAAAATGTAGATGGCGTTAGTGTTAGTATTAGATGTGTCAAATTAGTATTAGATGTGTCTATGTAATCAACGGAAGACAAGTTCAGCTTGAAACAAATAATTTTAGAGGTTGAGAAAAACTAGTTAGGCTGAGTATTCCTGTAGGTTTTTTTTTTTTTAAGTAGGATCTGACATAATCTTACAGCCAAAAGTTTCCTTGAAGGTTATCTAATTTCACCAGAATGTGTGATGTAACAGTCAGTAATCAAAGATGGAGGAACGCCATTTTTCAACACAGCCCACAAAAGGAAGGAAGGAAGGAATCAAACCTGCTGCAAAACAATGAAAGGTTCTGACTAATGGAATAATGTGTGATGGAACAGGTAGAAATCTGAAAATGCGACAGAAAAGCAGACCTCTTCTTAGAACTAGATGCAGAGTTTGTGCTGACTCCAGGTGGCATGTCGCTATAAAAGGAGTCGGCCTCACCAGGCTTTTTAACATAATCTCCCTGAGGAATTTGTCTAAAGCATAATAAACATTTTGAAGTCAGTAACAAAAGAATACATGCATAGACTGAAAATACATTCACTCACTCACTCTCTCCAGACAAGAAAAAAGAGTTAGCAAGAGGTTAAGGTATTTCATCTCATAATCACATAAATAGAGACAGGTGATAGAGGAAAATAGGCATATATTTGTTTTTTCTTTTTTATTATTGTGAGCTGCCCAGAGTCACCCATTGGGGGAGATGGGCGGC